TGAGTATTGTATAAATTTACGTGCACAAACACACTATGAGTACATCATTTCATTTTCATTTACCCCAGTGCCGCAAAGGCTCCCACCTACGGTGGGGTTAGGGGTGCAAACGAGCCAAGCCGTTTGCGAGCCGCTCGTGGATCGTTCGGGAAAAGCTTGACTCGAGTTTAGCCATATTCAAGTTCGGCTCGAGTTCGGCTCGACTCGTATACTAAACAAGCTCGAGTCAAGCCCCTTTATTTTAGGCTCGTGGCTCGCGAGCCGGTTCGCGAGCCTTGATGTTGTATATATATATATATATATATATATATATATACATATATATATATATATATATATATATATATATATATATATAGGGGTGAGATCACGTACTAACTAGTCCTCCCATGCTAACCTTCAAACTATCATAAACGGTGCATCTTTACATTATTTGTACTGCATATTGAAGTTCAAAGTGTTGCATATTATTTGTACTGCATATTAAAGTTCAAAGTGTTGCATATTATTTGTAATACATATTGAGATTCACAGTGTGCATCTTTACATTATTTGTACTGCATATTAAAGTTAAAAGTATTGCATATTATTAAGTTTGTAGGTTAGTATTTCAAGCATGGTTTGCATTTGATCTCTTACCTATATATATATATATATAATATATAATATTTTTGGAATAGTTATTCTAATTTAGGATTACTCTATTCTTAATACTTATTACTACGTATATTATAATAGAAATAATTTAATGAAACATTATTTATTATTATAATCATTATTTATAATAATTATAATATATAATACGAAGTGTTGTTAGTTCACTAGAAATGAGAATAAAACAAATTGACATCAAAAGTTACACAAACGTGTTGGTAGGCTGGGTGGAAATTCCCTTGCAGGCTTCATATGCCACCCGAGTTCGAATCCCCTCCGTGGCAGCCTTCTGTACTCCTACTCCATTTGTTTTTAGTTTTAATCTCTAAACTTCCCACACCGGAAAGTGAGGAAAAATTTCCTCTAGCAACAAGCTATAAACCACATCATATCCATGGGAAGAATTGAGCCCTAAGCAAGTTGCATATCATCAAATTTTGATGAAATGGCTAAGCTTTCGAGTCAATTTCGAGCAGCTCGCGAGCTCAACTCAAGCTTTCGAGTCGAACTTGAGTTTCAATATTTTAAGCTCGATCGAGCTCGAGCCGAACTCAAGCATATAAAATATTTTCGAGCTCGAGCATATGCGAGTTCGGGCTCGGCTCGGCTCGTTTACACCCCTAGGTGGGGTAGGGGGGTCGGATGTACGCAGTCCTACCCCTGTACTAAAGCACAAAGAGACTGTTTCCGGATGACCCATAGTGAAAATCGCATCCAAAATTGCATGGACTGACTGCTGCTTCTTAGTTAAGAAGCACAGACAGTATGAGTACATATAATGATTAAATACTGCGAGCATTAATAGTAGGCTGTTTCTTTTTAATTTCTTTGCATTTTCTGACAATTTTAGGGTTTCATGCTTACCAAAACTATTACAAGTATATTTCTGTTTTTCCTATTATATTAGATGTTCTATTCACTTTACAATCCTAAGATTCTTAATGTGAGTGAAAGTGGAAATTATTTAGTGAAAGGATTTGGTTATGCTGGTTTTCAAAAGGTCGAAACACCGTACCACAAACTCATGATTAAGGCCTAGGCAGTTGGCCGACCATTATAAGGGAGTGTTTGCAAGCTCTAAACAAAAGTGCTTTTGACTTTTTTTGTAATGAAAAGCCAAAAATGGTGTTTGTATACCCAACTTTTAGATTAAATTAAAGCACTTATAAGTCAAAAGTTCAAAGCATGCTTGGGGGTGCTTTTATCAGCTTATTGGTATTTATGTAAATACTCCCAACTTTGGGTATTGTTATTAGATCAAATATTTTACTAAACCAAAACTACCCTCCCCTCCCTTGATTCCCTGCGGACTGTCAGACCATGCCTCCTCATGGCCGAATGGCTCTTGTGTAGTAAATGGAGATAGCAAAGGCAGTTTTGTCATTAACCAAATATTACATCAAAAATCACTTTTTTCCCAAACACTCCAACTTTTACCTTTAAATTAAAGTTACTTCTATTCCCAAACACTACCAACTTTTACTACAAATCACTTTTCCAATAATCTCTTAAAAAAATCACTTTTAAAAAGCACAAGCAATCGCAAACACTCCCTAAGTATAACTGGTTTTATTGAAAATCACAAAAACATTTTATCCCCTTTTCTTGTTTTGTTTTGTTTTGTTTTGTTTTGTTTGAATACATTGAAAATAAACATATTTTTTCTCATTTTATAGGTCCTACATTCCATTTTTGCCCATATCAAGCAGTATTCACTTTCCCAACTTGCACACTGTTGACTTTGTATTCTTTTCAAATCATTTTTTTCTTAATATTTTAACTTTTCAGAATCATTTGACATCATTTTATTTGGTTTCATTTACGGCATACCCACAAAAGGAAGACATATTTGCCCTGTCAAGATAGGTTGAACACACTCAGTGAGTCCAATCATGGGGTCAAGACACTTCATTAAACCGAGACCTAAAGCATAAAGAAAAAATTATTCCATATGGGCCATCAGCCCATAAATAGAAAGAGAGTGGGGCAAACGAGTTCCGACAACAACAAAATCAGCTTATAAAAAACTTAAGGTCATTAAGATTTTACCAATAGGGGATATTAGTTATTATCAACTCCATTTGTTTTGGATTCTTTTTTATTATGATAACATACAAAGCTTTGTTAAGCACTTTGGGAGTTGTGGCAGGCACAAGCGGTAAAAAGCGGAAGAGATATGATGCTCAAAAGGTAAAATCTATGCCATTTATTTTCTCTGCATCTTTGCTGTGTGCAACATTATTGGACTTCTTGGTGACAGCCTCTTTTGGCTTATGCATGTATTTGGAAGTGGAAGTGGTCCTTAGGTTGCAATCAGGATCTTAACTAGCTGTGAGATCTCAATTGTCTGTTGCAATAACACATTTGCCTAACAATGCCGGCCTTATCACTTTTGGCAGGACAAAGGTGGACTACCTTCAGAGAATTTTGTTTTTAACCTCCACATTCCACATCCATTAAAGAAGCAGCTAATTGATGATTGTGAATTCATTACCCATTTGGGCAAGGTAAACTATAGACATACTGTTATTGCATTAAGCTTCATTTTCCATTCCTTTGCATGCACACCTTCAGTCTTTTTTTTTTCTATTTTATTTGGAGGTGTTTGGCTCAAGAGTTTTAAACCCCACTATTGACTCTGGTTACGTTGTTTGTTTGCCTACTTTTAGTACTTGGGGTACCAGAATTGAGTCCTGGAAGAATTAAAACACTAATGCATATAATAAAGTCCACTAAAAGAAAAAATCTGGAATTGAAAATGAGGGAGGTAGAGAGGAGTTGAGCAGGGAAATAAAAAATGACTATGTTACCTGAAAACTACCAAACAAAGAGACTAGTTTCACAAGAACTTTTTCAACATACTAATTATTGGAATCATTTTGGTGTTTTAACCAAACGCCCTAACTCTAATTATCGGAAACAGTTGATTTTTTTGCAATAAGTGAAACATTTTTGCTCCCGGCTCCTTACCTAACACAAACACAAACTCCTGTTTCAAGAACTTTTTTTGTCCAAAAAGAGTGTCCTCTTTAAACGAATACCAAAAACTAAATACCATCAAGTGAAATACAACAATTCGTTCTCCACCGTTTAGTTCACCCTCTTTCCTTTTGGATTGTCCCAAATTATGGAAAAGGGTCAGATAAGCCCTCAAACTTGCATAAAAAGGTCAAATAAGCCCTTATATAGGAGGCTTTGTCCGTCCGTCGCCATTTGGGGCGGTTTCCGGTGGAAGTTTTTGATGAAATTTTTTGAGCATCTAATTCATTAAGAGCCCGTTTGGAGACCCCTTTTTTCGGCTTATCAGGCTTATCAGCCAGCTTTTTCACCAAACACGTAATTTTTACTTTCGTGTGCTGAATTGGGTAATAAACAGAAAAAGTAAGGTTGTAGTTACTTTTCTGGCTGTATTGGCTGAAGTTACTGTACATGACCATTTTAGCTATTTTTACATGTAATTTTTTCTTTATTTTATTAATAAAATATATTTTTAAAATATTTTTTTCTAGAATCAACAGAATCAGCCAAAACAGCCACTTCAGCCAGAACTTCATAAATTTCAACAGAAACAGCCAAAACAGCCGATTTTTGTGCTACCAAACGGGCTCTAAGTCTAGTTACTCATACCAAATTTCAGCTACAACTTCAATCGGGAAGGCATTCAAATGAATTCTTGAAGATAACTGCGCAGTTAAAAACGCATTTATCTTCAAGAATTCATTTGAATGCCTTCCCGATTGAATTGTTAGCTGAAATTTGATATGACTAAATTAGACTTAATGAATAAGATGCTCAAAAAAATTCATCAAAACATTTCACCAGGAACTGCTCCAAATGGCGACGGCTGGACAGAGCCTCCTATATAAGGGCTTATTTGACCTTATTATGTAAGTTCGAGGACCTATTGACCCTTTCCCCCCAAATTATCTTCTCATTTATCTTCAAGGATTGAATAATGGAGTTTGATATCATTATTTTCCTTTCTAAATAAATCTGAATTGCACAATTTTTATTTTCTTAAACTTTAGTCAAACGGGGAAAATAAATTAGACATGGAGGGAGCATGAGTAGGAATCTAGGATTTTCATGGTTGTACTTTGCAAAAGATAGAAAGTTGTGTGCGGGCCAGATACGATTTTTTTTTGGCCAAGGGAGAATTAAAAAGTTTTGTGTTCATTTATTATTGGGAAAACTATCAAATAGGTCCTCATACTATATCCAAAAAGACAATTAAGTCTCGTACTAAATAATCACCCAATCTAGGACCTGAACTTTGAAAAATCGTTCAAATCACATTTTTATCTGGTAAATAAACGATAGCTGGTTAGTATGTTACTTGTGGGTCGTCCAGGTGGCTAGTTTTTCCATAGAAGATATTCTGCCTTTTCTTTTCCTTTCGCACTTCTTTCTCTTTCCCTGCTTTCTTCTTCCACCGGGCTCACAGCTCACTTACTCCATTTCAGTAAGATTTCTTCTTTCTCCCCCATGTACTTTCTTCTTATTCAACCTTCCACTTTCGATCGAGTGTCTTCTTGGATGACAGGTGTGGTCACTGGTCACTTGGTCAGTACTCTCACAACTGATTTTGTCCATTTCAGTCGGAATAGAGAGGAGTGTGCTCTTTTCTGGTCAATTTTTTCCGCCCATGAACAATGGAATGTTGGAAGGAAGAACCACTCGTCATCAACAGAATTGAACCATGGTATAGCTCGTCCAACCGGACCAAATCTTCGGTGGTGAGCGGGTTGGGGAAAAAGCTTCTATATATTGAATTATTGATGAATTAGTTCAACGATCTCCGGCAGAAGATGCCCAACATCTCCGGTAGGCTTTGTAGGGGTAACCCTTTTTCTCTCTTTGTTTCCGATGACTTCGCTGCTGCAACCGCCTCCATTTTTCCGGTGAATCCGCTGCAGCACCCCTCTTTGTTTTTATGGCGAGTTGCAGCAGCAACCCTTTATGTTTTTTTTTTCCCTTCGACAGTTTGCAATGCTTGAGGACATTTGGGTGGAGTTCCCTTTGACTATTTGCAAAGCTTGAGCACATTTTGGATAGAGTTCAGCTGCTTGTTCCGGTTCATATTTCTTCACTAATAAGTACTGTAATAATCAAAGAGAAAAAATGGCTCAATTGACCAAAAAATCAAAATAATAATGCACGTGGCCGGCCACATCAGCGTTTTCCGGCATAGTATATACTTGACCGACTAAAAAGAGGGATTGATAGTTTCTTTATAGTTTAGGGAGTTAATTGAATGATTTAATTGTACAAGGACTCGCTCGATATATTTGCTATAGTACGAGGACCTATTTGACAGTTTTCCTTTTATTATTATTATTATTATTATTATTATTATTATTTGTATTGTTGTTATTAACTTATTATCTATATGCATTATATTTGTTTTATTCGTAGTCATTCGTGTGGAGGCATTGGTCATTCCTTGATGATCCCTCTTCAGTTCACTCCAAAAGCATTAACTCTAAACATTATTTCAAGCACAAAGATACTTCACAGCTTCTCCAACTTCCTCGTTCTCCTGGGATGGAAGTTGTGCGTGGGCCAAATAAGATTTTTTTGGGGACAAGGGAGAATCAAATAGTTTTGTGTTCATTTATTATTATTTGTATTGTTGTTATTATCGATATGCATTATATTGCAGTGTGGGGGCATTGGTCATTCCTTGACGATTCCTCTTCATTTCGCTCCAAAAAAATTAAACTCTAAATATTATTTCATGCACGAACATATTTTGCAGCTTCTCCAACTTCCTCGTTCTCCTAGTGTGGATGAAATACTTAGCCAATACAGTGCCTATCGGCAAAAGAAAGATGGGATGTGAGTTCATCTTTTTTCACATTTTCCATCATATCTCTGATAACTTTTTCATCAGCAGGCTCTTTGTTTCTTTTTCAACTTGGGGATCATAGTAATTTGATTTCTTTTTTCCTAGTTATAGGGCCTCACGGTATGTACTTTAATGCTATTTTGTGTGTATGGTTGATAAAGGGTAGCTGATTCACTAAGGGAAATTCTCAGTGGATTGCAACGTTACTTTGACAAAGCATTGTCAGCCTTGCTGCTTTACAAGAATGAGCGTGACCAGTATGAAGTAGCAATTAAAGATGGAGTCTGCCCTTCGTTTGTCTATGGTGCTGAGCATCTATTGCGCTTGTTTGGTATTGATGCTACTAACTCATTCACATTTCCTCCACCCAGTTGGTTCTTGGTGCACCTTCTTATGTATGGGGAACAAACCAATCATATTTGAATTTTGATGTCGTGCTTCTTTCATCCAATGTGTATGTTTGGCAGTTAAATTGCCTGAAATATTGCACCATGCAAATATTGAGAATGAGTCAATGATCGAGTTACAGCAGGAATTACAGGACTTCCTCAGGTAAGTACGATTGTTCTTCACTTCATCCCATGTTTGTTAGCGTCCTTTTGGAACCTAGAAAATGATCAGGAAAGATACCAAGGATAAAAATATAAAAAGACATTTGAAGGAAACTAAATGCAGGTTAAATACAAAAACATGCCCCAACTCCATAAGCCAGAATCTGATATTTCATTTAAATCCTGCTTGTATTATATAAGGATTTTTTCCTATATATTAGTACTAAGTAACCATCCAATAGGTGAAAAATGTTACGTAGTAACTTTTTTAGCACAAAGATGTTATCAACCAATGGTTTTCTTTTGCAATATGTAATTTTGCAACGTAAAACTGAACAGAAAAAACAATCCTCGTCAATTTCCCCACACTAGGCTACCATTTTCTGGGTTTCAAGCATAGTCTTAAGTCACAATACAAAGGAAAAATTCACATGAATAATCTATCTATCAAGTATCAACGATCTTCCCATATTAATCTCACATATGTGTAATTCCAAAATAATCTAATTTATATAGTGTAGCTTTTAAAAACAAATCGGTGACCTGAATAAACAAGTTCAGCAGGTTGTCGAGCCACATGAATTAATATAATTGGTCTTTATTTGTTTGATTTTCCATTTCTTTCTTTTCTATTCTTTTCTTTTCTTTTTGCCTTATTCTTTTTCTCTGTCACCTCTGCTCCGTTTGATCTCCTTTTTCATTTTTCTTTTCACTTTTCTCCTCTCTTTCTTCTACTTGCTTTTCTTTTTGGCCTTCACCACTTGAGCCATACGCAGCAAACTTGCATGAGCGGTTCTAAAGGGGGGGATCTTGTAGGCGCCACCCATTCCAGTAGCATGTATTTGGAGCTCAATATGAAGTCTTATTTTGACCCATTCCGATAAGGGAACCCTCCAAAATTGCTTTGAAATAAAATCCATGCTTTGAGCCTTTCTTTAATCAGAACTGGGGAGGATGAGAGGAAAGGGGGGTGAAAATATCCCATCAATAAAGTGACGGGAAGGAAGAATAGAAAGATATCATTCCCACTTTTTCATATTCGAAAGAAATTTAACCCTTGATGATAAGGTAGGACAGCTTTGAACGTAGACAGTAGACACCAAGACTCCTTCATCCTTATCCTCCTGTCATCTCGCTCTTTGGAATTTTGTCCAATTTTATTATGTCTAAACATGGTCAGGTAACAGACTCATGAGAAGGTAAAAAAGAAAAAAAGGACTTGAGAAGAGATTACCGGATGGGAGTAGAGTTGTTAATGAATCGAGCTTTTATTGAACTATTCGAGTTCGAGCTCGGTTTCGAACCTAACGAGTCGAGCTTAACTAGCTTTCGAACTCGAAACCGAGCTGAGTTTTAAGTTCGAAAAATTAATCGAACCGATCTCAAACATAGTAGTATTTGGCTCGGTTCGAGCTCGAGCTCAAGCCTATCAAACACCTGGAAATTATAAATATAATTTATACATATGTCAAATACTTGTTGACATATGGCATACCGATCGAGGCTTGGAGAAGTTTGGGAGAGAGAGGCATTGAGTGGTTAACAAATTTCTTCAACAAAATTTGGAGAAACAACAAGATGCCAACGAGTTGGAGAAAGAGTACTCTTATTCCCTTATTTAAGAATAAAGGTGATGTACAAGAATGTGCCAACTATCGGGGGATTAAACTTATGAGTCATACCATGAAACTTTGGGAGCGATTGATTGAGCAAAGACTTCGAAGAACGGTGAAGATCTCAGATTCTCAGAGAATCAATTTGGTTTTATGCCTGGTCGCTCAACAACTGAGGCTATTCACCTTCTTCGGCAACTTATGGAGAAGTATAGAGACGCTCACAAGGATTTGCATTTAGTGTTCATTGACCTAGAAAAGGCATATGATAGGGTACCTCGAGAAGTTCTTTGGTGGGCCTTAACTAGAAAAGGCATTTCACGCAAGTATATCAGCATCATCATGGATATGTATGAGGATTGTACTACAAGTGTCCGTACTAGTGTAGGGAGGACTGCGGAGTTCCCTATTACTATCGGAGTGCACCAAGGATCGGCTCTTAGCCCTTTTTTATTTGCCATAGTCATGGATGAACTTACAAAGTCAATTCAAGACGATATACCGTGGTGCATGATGTTTGCCGACGATATTGTATTGATTGATGAGACGCAATCAGGGATTAAAGCAAAGTTGGAAGTATGGCGACAGACATTGGAGAACAAGGGTTTCAGACTAAGTAGGAGCAAGACAGAGTACATGGAGTGCAAGTTTGGTGGAGGTAGAAGCAGTGGTAATAGCGGAATTACTTTAGATGGTAAGGAGATACCAGTCAGCGATATGTTCCGTTATTTGGGCTCCATAATTCAGAAGGACGGTGAGTTAGATGGAGATGTATCCCATAGAATCAGAACAGGGTGGATGAAGTGGAAGAGTGCATCAGGATTTCTATGCGATCGAGGTATGCCGACTAGACTGAAGGGTAAATTTTATAAGACAGCAATTAGGCCGGCATTATTGTATGGCACGGAGTGTTGGGCGGTGAAACAATGTCACATTCAAAAGATGAGTGTGGCAGAGATGCGCATGCTGCGTTGGATGTGTGGGCATACTAGAAAGGACCGCGTGAGGAATGAGACAATTAGACAAAGGGTGAGAGTAGCACCTATTGAAGATAAGATGCGGGAGTCACGCCTACGGTGGTTTGGTCATGTGCATAGAAGACCGAGTGATGCACCTGTCAGACGAGTTGAGATGTGTGGAGAAGAGGTAGGGAAGAGAGGGAGAGGAAGGCCCAAACAGACGTGGGTTAGGGGAGTCAGAAGTGATATGCTTCTTCTTGGATTGGATGAGGGTATGGCTTTGGAGAGAGCAAAATGGAGGGCGGGTATTCGTGTTGAGGAGTGATCTTGTATCATCTTTTTTTTCTTCTTCTTCTTTTTTTTTCCTTTTCTTTTATATCTTTATCCTTATATATAAATATTACCTTATCCTTTTTATTTGATCTTTTATATGTATATTCATCTCTTTTATATTATCTTTTTTTTTTTATAATAGCTTATCTTTTTTATCTTTAGTTTCTTTCTTTTCCTTTTGGTGATAATGTGATATCATATATCGATTCATGTTAGCCGACCTCAATATCATTTGGGACTAAGGCTTGGTTGTTGTTGTTGTTGTCAAATACTTGTTGAATTTAAATATATCTCAACGAGCATCACCTAAAACTTCGAGCATATTTATCGACCTTATCGAGCGCTCGATTCTAACATCCAACACCTATCAAGCCGAACACGAGCCTTATTTGTAAGGCTCAACGAGCTTCGAGCTCGAACATCCCTATTACTGAATTGAGCCAAGCTCGAGCTCTGGGTGTTCGGGCTCGGCTCAGTAACAGCCCTAGATGTGAGGCAACACGAGGGAGATGAACACAGCTTTTTTCCAGTCATATACATTCAAAGGATATATGCCTAAGGGTATTTACCTGTTAAACAAGTTGCAATTACCTATGATTATTTTTAAGAAGGATTATGGATACCCCTTAAATTCAGATTATTTTGGAATTATATGTATATGAGATTAATATTTTGGAATTATTGATGTGAATTTTCCCCAATATAAATTAATCCCGTGCTACACTAAATACGTAGCAGACAAGGTAAGGGTTTAATGGCTATTCATTCAATATAATTGAGGGCCTGAGGGGGTAAATGTTTACTAGCCTAAATTCAAGGGATTAAGTGAAAGTATCATAATCCATAACTTGCACTGAGGCTGACTGTTTCCCATCACCTTTGGGTTTGGGTGGGTGGGTGGAAGTGGTTTCTGGCATGAACTTACAGGACATTTTAATTTTTTTGCGACAAACCCAGGTTCCTACACAAGAATCAGAGCTCATTCTTTGCATCATTTTACATTAATTGATCCTCAAGGTTGTGCTGCTGATGCGGCGGCTCCAAGAAAGAAAGAAATCAGATGCTTAGCTTTGGCCACTTTACCAGTTTGTATTTTGTAATATTATAATATTAAAGTATTAAGCTGTGAACGAGCCAATCCACAGTGTCTGTCTCTTGCATTTCAGATGAACTGCCTTTTGCCGTGAACGTTTTCGGGTGGTTCTAGCTCCATGTACTAGTGCCCTTACGACACAGGGTTTAACAACACTATTTTCAATTTTATGTCCAATAACTGAATGGATTTCTCTTTACCCAACCCGTGCAATCCGGACCTCTCGATTCCTCCTACTTATGAATTGAACTTTCAAGTTTAGTGATGGAAAAACATCTGAGAACACTGCCAAATGTATGGATGTATGTCGCATACATTTTCTCTCCTTAGAATTAGGCTGTTTGAATGAGTAATATTGCCAACTGCCAAGCAAAGGATGGAAAATAGTCATGGTAAAAGACAGCATAGAAAATCTATAGTTTAGGACCTTAGGTAATGGTGAACCTGCCCCACGGGTGGGTGGGTCCACATAGTAGCTTCATGGGTGGGTGTGGGTTTACACTGTCTTTCCTACTTCGACTCATCGCCATACCTACTTTTAACCTATGTTGTAAAAACCGGACCGGTGAGCGATCCGGTCATGTGACTGGGTCACGGGTCAACCAGGACTCAGAGGGTCAACTCGGTCAAAGCCGGAAAACCGGTCAACGATTATACGTCTATTAATAACAATAAACATATAATTATATACACTCTCATTATATATTTTTATTGTACATTTATATTATAATTTGGCATGATTTTCATTCTTAAATAAATATATAAATATATTACATAGTTTTTCTTTTTAGGGAATTGAAATTGTAATTTTATTGATTTAAAAAATGCATCAAAATTAAAAAAGAAATTACTTTTTTTGGAAAAGACCGAAAACCGGGTTTTCCCGGGTTTTTCGGGTTTCTTGGGTTGGGTCCGGATCGGATTTTTTCGGGTCAGCCGGGTTTTTCCGATTTTCGACCATTTTCGGGTTTTGAAGAAACCGAACCAGATTTTTTTCCGGGTCACCGGGTTCCGGGTCAACCTTGTTATACGAACTTCTGCTCAAGGAGACGGACCCACACCTTCCTAGAAAAATCATCAATGATGGACAGAAAATATCTCTTATCCCCGTGGGTAGAGACACTAGCAGGACCCCACACATCAGCATGAACATACTCTAACACAGAGGTACAATTAGTGGGATTATGATATGGGGAGGAGGGGAATGTAACCTTATGCTGCTTGCCTAACACACAAGATTCACAGAAGGGGATGAGGGACACAGAATCCTTACCAAAACAACCAGATTTATGCAAAATCTCTAAACCCCTATTACTCATGTGTCCTAATCTATTATGCCACAAAGCAGATTTATCAGAACTAACAACATGAGCAGAATCACAGAAAGGCTGAGCATGGCACACATACAAGTTATTCACCTTTTTTGCCTTAAACAAAACAAGGGAATTTTTCAAAACTTTCATGCACCCATTACCCCATTTACCCTCTAACCCACTACCCTCAAAAGCAGCGACAGAAAACAAGTTATGACGCAAATGAGGAACATGCCTCACATTTTTCATAGTAAACACAGTCCCATTATCAAACTTCAAACATACATCACCCACCCCATGTATTTTGCATTTCTTATTATCAGCAAGAGACACAAAACCATCATTGCAAGAATCATAAGAAGCAAACAAGGATCTAAAAGGTGTCATATGATAAGTACAACCAGAGTCAATCAACCACTCATTTTCAGTCATGCTACTCAACACAGAATTGGCAGAATCACAAATCATAAAAACTTCTTCATGCAAGTTATTATCATCTACCACATTAGCATGTTCAGACTTCTTACGATGAGGACAATCCTTAATGAAGTGACTAGAATTACCGCAATTATAACACACTCTCTTCTTAGACTTACCTCTCTTCTTCTCCGGGTCATTGTTTTTGTTCTTATCGTTGTTGCTCTTCTTATGGTTTCTAGATCTACTCTTAGACCTACCCCTCACAAACAACGCTTCACCCGAGTCCCTAGACTGACCATTACTACCCCTGGAGTGTCTAAGGTCTAACTCCTTACTCCTTAATCCATTAACGACTATATCTAATGAGATATCGTCTCTACCATACTTTATGGCAGATTTGACGTCATTGTATGAGTCAGGGATGTCATTAAGTAACACTATGGGCGTGTAGTCATCTATGTGTTTATCACCAGCTTGCTTAATGTTCTGGATAAGCTTGTTAAACACATCAAGGTTCTCATCTATGTCCTTAGACAGGTCAAGCCTAAATCTAAAGAACTTCTCAAGCAAAAACAATTTACCAGGCAAAGAAGTATCGGTATACAACTTATCTAACTTGTCCCACAAATCCTTCGCGGAATCTATAATACCCACCTTCCTGAGCACTGAATCAGATAGGTTCAGGTATATAGAGGAACATGCAGTTTCATTCATCTCAACGCACTTTGTAGCATCCTCAGAATATAAATAGAGACCAGTCACAGCTCTATAGACTTTCTGTTGGATCAACACACATTTGATTTTATGTTTCCAGATATCAAAATCTGTCTTTCCGTTAAATGGAAGCATGCCATATTGATTGATAGCCATATTAACCGGAAAGCAAGCACAACACGCAAGAGAGTAAAATAAAAAAGAATTATCAGGCTATCAACCGGTACGAAGCAACTAGCACGAACAAGCCGAGAAGACCAATGAACACAAGGCTCGGGTACAATCTCCTTGTTCTTTCGTACCGTACGAAGCAACTAGCACGAACAAGCCGAGAAGACCAATGAACACAAGGCTCGGGTACAATCTCCTTTTTCTTTCGTACAAGCACAGATAAAATTTTTATTTACTCAACAGACAGATAAATGATTAATTATAACCTATAGGGCTATCAATTGTACAAAGCAACTAGCACGAACAAGCCGAGAAGACCAATGAGCACAAAGCTCGGGGTACAATCTCCTTGTTCTTTCGTACAAGCACAAATAGGCTAGAATTAAATCAACATGCAAAGAAACTGGATTTAAAACTAATCCGGACAGAAATATTTCCAACTTCGGACAACAACTATCCAAACAAATATTCTTAACCGAAGAGTTTATCCACGAATCAATCAACAGAAAAAATCAAAATAAAAAATCCAACACGTGATTAAATTTAAACGGGAAGAAATATTCACAACTTTGGACAACGAGTATCCAAACAAAATATTCTTCACCCGAAAAATTAATCACAAACCAACAAGAAATCACAATTCAAACAACCAAGTAATTGTAATTCAACTTGAAATTAAAATGAATGAACTACGAATAAAAATCACACAAAAGATTAGTAAACGTACCTGGGGCCGGGCACAGCCGGCTTCCAAGACCACGTAGGTCAGCAGCAGGGGAGCGGGGAATAAAAAATCCGGTGGCACTCCGGTACACCAAGGATGTTTATAGCCAATTTACCTGAGCGGGGTCCAAGGTTGGGTTACCCGACTTACCTTAGGCAGCATGTGCTGCTATAGAGCTCGGCGGCAGCGGACTGGATTGGCGGCAACGGCACCTCCCCGAACAGCGACAGACTTCCAGACTGGAGGCAGTGTCCTACTCTGGCTGCTGGAGGCTCCTGGACACTGGTTCTGGGCACTAGAGGCTTCTGGACCGAGTTGGCAGCTACTGCAGAGGCTCTGGCCGACAACGTGCGGCGGCAGACAGCGGCGACGCGGCGGCAGACGGCGGCAAGGCTCTGATACCACTGTTATACGGACTTCTGCTCAAGGAGACGGACCCACACCTTCCTAGAAAAATCATCAATGATGGACAGAAAATATCTCTTACCCCCGTGGGTAGAGACACTAGCAGGACCCCACACATCAGCATGAACATACTCTAACAGAGAGGTACACTTAGTGGGATTAGGATATGGGGAGGAGGGGAATGTAACCTTATGCTGCTTGCCTAACACACAAGATTCACAGAAGGGGATGGGGGACACAGCAAACCCGGCCGGGTCGGGTCGATGTTTTAAACATAGCTTTTAACAAGTAGCATTGTATATAGCCTTCTTATATGTTGGGAGGCCTATATAGTTCATGGTTTAAGGTTCAATCGGATTTGGAATTGGAATTGTAACCACTGCTTTTTCAATCAGAACTGGAACTGCATTGTGCATTCACTTTGGAATTAGAGGTTCATTTTGGTTCGGTTCTCTCAGAACCGGACTTCCTTCTCATCCATCCAGCCTAGGGGTGGACTCGGGCTGGTTTGGGCCCGGTTCAGGCCTGGGCCCGTCTGGGCCTCGGTTCATGAAAGGGGAGGCCCAGAACCGGCCTGGGTAACCCCCGGGTCCGGGTCAGGCAGGGCCTCGGTTCAATTTTTTTTAGCTTTTCCTAATTAACCCCCAACCCTCCCCCCTCACCCCCAAACCACCTCAAATGGCCCAAAATACCCAGCCCAACCCAAAAACTTAAAAAAAATTCAAAAAAAAAAAAAGGAAAAAAAATAAATTGGCCCGGACCGGGCCCGAACCGGCTGGGCCGATTCACCTTTTGAGGGGCCCGAGCCCGGACCGGAACCCCAGCGGGTCAGGCCTACCCGGACCTGTCCCTGGTCGGGCCGGCGATTCGGGCCGGTTCAAACAGCAACCGGGTCAGGCCGGTTCCGGGGCGGGCCGCCTGGCCCGAGTCCACCCCTAAATTCCAACCCATCAAGATCATCTCCTTTATCAGATGCCCTCGAACATCCATTGTTCGGGGAAGAGACTCAATCAGTTGACTATCAACGTGATTTGATGATTTTGTACCACCAAAACCTCCGCCATCAATTGATTTTTTATCTCAATTTTTGGCTCAGCGATGATAGTGAGCATAACTCTTTTTATTGCAACATGCACACAAACTTATTCAACCAGTTGACAATGGGGAAATTTACAGCTTTAATATCATAGCTTTCAAGTGTGCTCGTTATTAGTCCTATATCATTACTTGCGAATTTGGTCATCTAACTAATAAGTATGTGAACGATAAAAAAAGTAATAAGTATGTGAGATTTAAGGATTTTCGGCTAAAAAGTACACTTTTCGGCAAAAAAAAATATTCGATGTCGTTGATGTGTTTCCACATATATTTTCAAATTTCAACCAAAAAGTGTATAATCCTTTATGTGCAGATTTTTTTAGTTGCAATGCTGAATGTACAAACGAGTAAATTTACAAGACTAGGACTAATA